TCTCTCTCTCTCTCTCTCTCTCTCTCTCTCTCTCTCTCTCTCTCTCTCTCTCTCTTATATATATATATATATATATATATATATATATATATATTGAAATGAAATCGACTGACCATGCACTATACCACTAATCGCTAGTTACAGTAATCTGCATTGAAGCCATGTGAGGCGCTAAACTTTCTCTTGCTGCCAACAGGTGGCGTGCGTCTACGCTGTAGATAAGCCGTACGAGATCGGAGCTCGTCCGACAGAGGAGCCGAGACCGCCCGAAGATTATCTGCCAATGCCGAGAATGCTCAACGACGTTGTCGGTACGTGTGACGTCGAATCTCTCAGTCACCGATAGCCGAGCAGACATCCGCGACAGTCCGTGTGGCGTGCGTGCGCGAGTGCGTGCGTGTGAGCGAGTGAGCGTGCGTGCGTGCTTGTGTGTGAGCGTGCGTGTTGTGTGCGTGGGTGCGTGCTTACTTGTATGTGTTGGGGGGGGGCGTGCGCGCGTTCGTGTGCAGGGGGCGGGCGTGTGTGCAGTGAGAGTTCGTGCGTGCGTGCGTGCGTGCGTGCGTGCGTGCGTGCGTGCGTGCGTGCGTGCGTGAGTGGGTGTGTGCATGCGTGTACGTGGGCGTGTGTACGTGTGATTAGCATGATATTGGGAATCACACCTACGATCTTTGTTACAAGAGAAAGTGTCATCAGTTATACACAATACGAATCTCTGTAAATGTAGACTTGGTTACGCCGCATAAGAAAATACTGTTTGCAATGCACAGCCTAGAGTCGATGTGTATCGCAGTTAAGCATTGCGTTCTAACAAAATTCACTAACCTAACAAAAGTGTGCGCGTGCATCTAGGTGTGCGTGTGCGTGCGTTAACAAATTTCACTAACCTGACAAAAGTGTGCGCGTGCATCTAGGTGTGCGTGCGTGTGCGTGCGTGCGTGTTTTGTGCGATTCGCTTACTAACCTACTCTAAAATAGACAGCAATGAGCTTGAACTTAATCTCTCTACTCATACGCTCTCGCTGCCCGCGTAGATATTAAAGTCAACTGCGACGTAGAGGCCAATACGATGACGGTGAACATTGCCTTCGAGCGGCCCTTCGAGGGTGCTTTGTTCGCTAAAGGCAACTACAAGGTCGAGCAATGCCGAGTAACTGCGACACCGGGCAGCAAAGAGACCGTGCTCGTTCTTCCCTTGGATGGCTGCGGTGTGGCTCTAGATCAAGCCGTAAGTGTGCGATAACGGCGAGGATCGTGCTAGTCGATAGCTACGTTTACGATTAGTGATTAATTTGTGTTTTTTTCATTTATGTAATTTTGTGTTTTTTTCATTTATGTAATTTTGTTTTTTTTATCATTTTTTAACATTGATATATTTTTTTATTTTATATTATATTTATTTTATTTTATTTTATTAATCTGTGTATTTGAAATAGTTTTCATTTATGTTTATGATTAGCGTTGACCCACGCATTAATAGACACGATGATGTTAAGATAGATTGGTTGGTGGGAAGACGGCAATATTATATAATATGTCCTTCGTGGTATGCGCGGGTGTGGCAGTAATGAGCTTGATTGTGTTTGTAAACAATTGGAATAAGCGTCGAATGTACGAGAAATATAGGGCGCGTGCTACGCGTAAAATTCGCTGGTAAATAGCTAAGAGTGCTAGCCCATCATGGAAACTATGATCATGACTGTCCGTTATCTGGCGTTTCCTAGTATTAGGTAAGAGTTTTTGTGTTTAGATGCGGCGTGTAACAATGCTAGATTCATCGTCGAAGTCGGAGCGCAGTGATAGAGATTTATTACTTCGCATTCGTTGTCGTCATTGTTGTTCTCCTTGTCCGTACTTCCATTACTTCGTGTATGGTATTACACGTAAATAACACGTAGTACAGTTGACGATAGAAGAAGACAGAGAAGAGATGGCAGAGTTAACAAAAGCATTGAAGTAGGTACTGTGTACTGTGAGTATGGTGCCGCTTCCAAGGAGTTTGCGAACTTCGTTTGGAACTTATTGAAAACGTCTTAAAGATTTGCTTAATAAACACTTCTTTGTTATAATTGCCTACCCCAGAATGTCGTCATCGGATTTCATGGTTACATTAAGAGTAACATTATTTTACTACAAATCCATGAAATAACCTGCAGGCAACTTTCGATAACCGGTTTAGCTGTCTTAGTTGACAATTTTGTTGCGCAACGTCATTCCATTTTTCTTTTTTTGACAAAGACAGCTAGTCGTGTCGTTAAAACTGTTGCTAACAGGTCAATTACTTGAAATTTTCGCAAAATGAAATTACTCTTCATATAATAGCCCATGTTGGACGTGTGGTCGCCTGCACGCGAACACGCAGCGATGCGCACCTATAAATGACCATTAGGCGTTGTCTCCAATTGCGATCATTAAATAATTAATTAAGGTAATTAATTAGGAAAACGCGTGCGTGACATCGTTCGGCGCGGCTCGGAATTCGAGAAATCGGGTCCGCGGTGTGGCTCGTCTGTAAGCGCGCACGTCTGCCATTGTCCAACCCGCTGTCATTGTCGTCTGCTTCTCTGTGTGTGAGCGCGTGAGAAAGTAGGCCGGCGGCGCACTGTTACATTAGTTACATGTCAATGACGCATGCGTCCGCATATTTGTCAAGCGCTCTAAGCGATTTTTTACGGAGCTATATAGAGTCGGACCAGCGAGTCGTTAGCGTCGCGTACAACGTCCGGAAGGATGGACCAAACTGCCTTCACCTAATTACAACGTTTAATGCCAAGGACAAAGACTAAGCGCGCATGCGCGCAAGCTTATTTTGCGAATTGACATGCCGTATGAAGTGGCGTGCGAGCTGGACTACCTAAGAGCGGTTGCTCATGTATACCAGCGTGAGCGGCTTAGCTATAAACTCTAAACATAGATTAAAACTACTGGTGGGAGTGGAAAAGGGATTATAATAGTATCGATTTTTATTATGACCTAGTTGTTGTCTACGACCTCGCATGCTATTGCTGAAACGGGGACGTCGATTGCGACACTACCGCATGAGAGAATAGGTAGTGACGACGACGACTTTGCCGTTAATTAAGTAGCTGCGATGACGTAACTGTTACCCTGCTGACGTAGCTGTTACTACGATGACGTAGCTGTTATTGCGATGACGTAGCTGTTACCCTAATGACCTACCTGCTGCCCTGCTGACGTAGCGGTTACCCTGATGACGTAGATGTTATTGCGATGAGGTAGCTACTCCACGATGAGGTAGCTGTTGCCCCGATGATGTAACTGTTACCCTGCTGACGTACATAGCTGTTACAATGTTGTTTTAGGGTGAGGGGTACGATGCACGCACCTTCTATAACAGCACCGTCATCGTGATGGCAGAGTTTGCTTGGGGCATCCTCGAGATGGGAGATCGCGCCTACGATGTCTCGTGCAGGTTCGGGGGCACGCAGATCGACACGTTAGAGTTCAACATGCAAGTCCCGTAAGTACACAGGTGAACGAGATGTTCCCTGTTATTCCATAAGCATCTACTCTGCATATAGCTTACTTCTTACCTGCTATTTCTATTTCTACTTCTACTTCTACTTCTACTTCTAACTTCTACTTCTATTTATACTTCTACTTCTACTTCTACTTCTACTTCTACTTCTACTACTAGTTCTACTTCTACTTCTAGTTCTACTTCTACTTCTACTTCTACTTCTACTTCTACTTCTATTTCTACTTCTATATCTATTTCTACTTCTATTTTTAGAGTAGTACTAGTGACCCTTATGTACAAGGTTGATCTTGTCACCGCTCCACGCTTCTATCATTACCACAATCATGCTTTTATTCGCAGAAACATTAGCCCCAATACGGTGACGTCATCACCCATCACGTTCAGCAGTTGCAACATGAAGATCGTACAAGGCAGAAATCCGCTCGTGACGTCAGTCAATGTCCTTGATCTTGGGGACATCGCCACTCTAGTGTTCTGGGTTGATAATCAAGGTATGAACCTGGTCGTAATATAGGCGCGTGTTCGTTGATTCACGATTGTCAGTCTATCCCCCCCCAAAAAAAATGCCATCCTCTGCTGTAATCATGATAGATTCTTCTTCGAAGCTTTCGCCTCCAGTTATGGCTGGGCATATATCGGCCCAACCTCAGTGTCGGCTTAAGTGATTCTTCCTCTTCTCTTCTCTTTCTGAATAGGTTTATGCCCGGAAGGTGACACGACAATAGACTAGCATATCTGGATCGGTCGCCCAAGGAAATTACACGTTTCCCTGACTTTACTTACCTCAATTAATTTGTTAAGTTCGCTGGAAGTATGAACTTACGTGTCTATTTTAATTTCTTATTTCACAGGCGTCTTCGATCTCTCCGTGTTCGATTGCTACGCCCACGATGGCATGCAGATGTCGCGGCTCGAGCTCGTCGATGAAGCAGGGTAAGAGACATATACCGACAATAGTCACTATGAGCATCAGGGTAGATGGTTCATGGTAGCGGCAGTGGAAGCAGTGTCAGTGTTGGCATCGGTGATAGTGATGATCGACATAACACGGTCGGTAGGGGTGATACTCTATTAGGAGTGTTCCCAACTTTAAATTCATTAATGGTCATAATAACATATA